CGGGCACAGAACCGGGTGCTGCGGGAATCACCCCGTCCCGCGAGCCGCATCCTTCTCCTGAGTCAGCGACGAGGTTACGGTGACGGGCACGAAACACTGATGGGCGCTCATCAGCCGGAAACACTAAGTGCGTTTTTATTATTCACTGCTTCTGCTGTGACCGGGCAGCTCCTGCGGAGGTGCAAAGCCCAGCTGGTGAAATACCCCATCCCGCGGCTTTTCCGAGAGAAAAGGGGGAGAGCGGAGAGCGGCCGTGGGGTGGGAGCAGAGGCTGCGGCAGTGCCGCGGCAGGCGGCTGCAGCACGGGGGCGGCGAGGTTTGCCGGACGCGGTCAGGGGGAGGCGGACAGTACGTGGCAGAAGCAAACTAAGACTTTTCACAGCGGTCACAGGAACCGACTGGGTTCCCAACAGGAATTTGGAAAGGCGTCGGGTGCCGGCAGTTTGCCGGGCACCGTGCTGCATCCCAGCCGGGGCACGTGCTGCCGTGGAGAGCACTCCTCGCCTCGCCGCTGCCAGCGGTGCCGTCCCTCTCCCCGGGGCCGAGCCATTGCCTCCTGTGCGCCGCAAGAAACTTGGGTGCGTGTGTGTCTGCTCTGCGCGCCGTGAAAGGACAAACCGACCCACCGACTGACCGACCAAGACAAAAAAGAAAGATCGCATCCTTGGAAATGAGTAACATACCGGTAACGCTGGAGTCTCCTCGGGCAGACTTTTACCACATTCCACTTCATACAAGACACATTTCAAATGCTCATTAATTTACAGAAATTGCATTTTATAGAAAATATGATACAATGAAATATAAAATGCACTAGGAGCATTTCAAAAATCTATAGAGACGATCTTGCAGCCTAGTATACCCTCTGAAACGACGTCCACTCATCACCGCAAGCGCTCGTCCTCTCATTCTCCCGCTCTCTCGCGTGCCCGCGCTCGCCCCCCCCCCCCCTTAACTCTTAGCATTCAACTTGAGAATTAATCGAGATATCAAAAAAAGCACGATTATCCTCTGGATAATCACCTTCCCATACTGTGCACGTTCTTGGATTTAAAGGAAAATATATCTAAGCACTTTTACAAGTTTTAGCGAACCCACTGCAAAATCGTCTGCAGAATATAAAACACAGGTAATCCAAGATTTCATAGCACGTTAATTAAGTGGCTCATAATCCATTAAATGTGGTTTATATTACACATCCATGCAGTCTAAATCATTTTACAAACATTAGACATAAACCCACTAGTCCAAATCAGTAAAGGAAAAATGTAATAAAAAAAGCTAATAACTATTTGTTATTGGTTAAACTGACCCTACATATAAACTAGGTAGTATGCTACCATTTATAATACTGATGTTGAATTAACGCCTGGATGCTGCAAAACCTCTTGCTGACTTGGCAATGCTGGAGCATATTAACCACGAGATACTTAACAGGCCCTCGTTGCACTTCTCCAAAAAACCCATTTACTACCGATAGCAGCGCCTACCCATCAAATAGAAAGGACACACATTAGCTGAGTTACGTGATGTCATTGGGCTTTGGCTACTGATGCTCCAAGGCATTGATATCGTACTAGACTACCTCCATACTTACGGAAGGCAAAAGTGCGGATAAACCCCTCCTGCCCTCGGCACTGCCCCGGCCCCACGCAGAGCCGCCACACGAACCCCTCCGTGCGCCGGGAGACTGCGCGGTGCTCTGCCAGCCGGCGTCCTCCGAGATGCAGGACACCACCACCATCACCGAACCCAACCGGTACCTACATCAGTCACCAAGTGGTGGGAGCCAGAACACGCCGATAGCATAAAAACAAACAAATGGGCCTTTGGTCATTTCACAATTTACTTTGTAGGGTTTAGGCAAGGGCTGTCGGAGATTTCTGTCGCGATAACCAAAGGCTTTATCAATGCTATAGTTCTATGCAGCTACATTGAGTGTGAGCGGGTGGCAGCAGAGCCCCCGGTCGGTATTTTGCATCTGATAACACTGAATTATATACAACATGATGACTACTTCACCACCTGCTGAGGCTTAAAGATGGCTGTTAAGATTTCGACTCAAAACACCCCCCCCCCATCCTCTTCCACCCCAGAATGAGTCACCCCCTTAAAAAAAAAAAAAAAAAGGCAAAAAAGAAACAATCTCCACAGTTCCTTTTTGTTAACTCCTTCCCAGCTAGAACTGGCTTAGGGTCACAGGGAGTGCTGCCCAGGATGGTTGTATGTTTGTTTTCATCACTCCTGAGATTGAAGGGAATCTGATACATGCACCAAAAGGCACTTTCAAATATATATATATATATATTTTAAAAACAGTGCTTCTGTTCTAAGAAATTCAAGTTAAGACAGAGTGCCTTTCACTCTCTTTAGTCATAAAGCAGATAAACGAGCAATATCCCAGCTGACATTAAAAAAACAAAACAAAACAACAAAAAAAACCCTTGCAGCAGAGACAAGTGTTCATGCGAGACAGCTCAATATTCTAAAAAAAAAAAATCAGAAAAGAAAAAAAAAGAAAAAAAAAAGAAACCTCCTATATCACCACTAAAAATAACAATACAGTCAGCAGGGGATATTAATTAAAAAAGCTGCCACATCTGTACAGTTCTTGCTTCTGCATCGGCTCTTTTTGTTAATGTTGTCATCTGTGGGTTTGTTTTTTTTTCTAAATTGTTTTTTTTCCTTCTTCTTCTTCTGTTTTTTCTTTCTTTTTTTTTTTTTTTT